ACACTATGTAGGTAGGTCGAGGGAGTACACTATGTAGCGAGGTGGAGGGAGTACACTGTGTAGGCAGGTGGGGGGAGTACACTATGTAGGGATTTGAAGTACACTGTTTAGGGAGGTGGGTGGAGGTGGAGAGAGTACACTGTGTAGGGAGGTCGAGGGTGTAAACTGTATAAGGAGGTAGAGGTGGAGGGAGGTTCCCTGTATAGGGAGGTTGAGGTAGTACACCATGTATGAAGGTGCAGGGAGTACACTGTGTAGGGAGGTGGGGGGAGTACACTGTGTAGGCAGTTGGAGTACACTGTGTAGGGAGGTGGGGGGAGTACACTGTGTAGGGAGATGGAGGGATTACACTTTGTAGGGAGGTGAAGGGAGTACAATGTGTAGGGAAGTGGAGGAAGTACACTGTAGGGAGGTGGAGGGAGTACACTGTGTACTGAGGTGGAGTGAGTATACTGTGTTTGGAGGTGGAGCGAGTACACTCTTGTAGGTTGGTGGGGGGGAGTACCCTGTGAAAGGAGGTTTGGGGACTGCATTGTGTAGGGAGGGAGGGTGGTGCCCTGTGTAGGGAGGTGTGGGGAGGTGCCCTGTGTAGGGAGGTGGACAGAGTACACTGTGTAGGGAGGTGGAGGAAAATACACTGTGTAGAGAGTTTGAGGGAGTACACTGTTTAGGGATGTGGGGGGAGGTGCCCTGTGGGGGGAGGTGGAGAGAGGAAACTATGTAGGTGGGTGGAGGGAGTACACTGTGTAGGGAGGTGGAATACAGTGTGTAGGTAGGACAAGGGAGTACACTGTGTAGGGAGGTGGAGGTTGAGGGAGGTGCCCTGTATAGGGAGGTGGAGGGAGTACACTGTGTAGGGAGGTGGAGGGAGTACACTGTGTAGGGAGGTGGACGGAGTACACTACGTAGAGATGTGAAGTACACTGTTTAGGGAGGTTGTCGAAGTGGAGAGAGTACACTGTGTATGGAGGTGGAGGGAGTAGGCTTTGTATGTTGGTCGGGGGAGGTGCCCTGCGAAGGGAGGTTAGGAGACTAGAGTGTGTAGGGAGGGGAGGGTGGTGCCCTGTGTAGGAAGGTGTGGGGAGGTGCCCTGTGTAGGGAGGTATAGTACACTGTGTAGGGAGGTGGGGGGAGTACACTGTGCCTGGAGGTGGAGGGTGTACACTGTGCAGGAAGATGAAAGGAGTACACTGTGTAGGGAGGTGGGGGCACTACACTATGTAGCCAGGTGGGCGAAGTACAATGTCTAGAGAAGTCCGGGGAGGTGCCCTGTATAGGGAGATGGATGGAGGTGCCCTGTGTAGGGAGGTGGAGGGAGTACACTCTGTAGGGAGGTGGAGGGAGTACACTGTGTAGGGCAGTGGAGGAAGGTGCCCTATGTAGGGAGGTGTTGTACACTGTGTAGGGAGGTGGAGGTAGTACACTGTGTAGGAAGGTGGTGTACACTGTGTAGGGAGGTGGAGGTAGTACACTGTGTAGGAAGGTGGATATCGAGGGAGGTGCCCTGTGTAGGGAGGTGGAGGGAGTACACTGTGTAGGGAGGTTAAGTATACTGTGTAGGGAGGTGGAGGGAGAACACTGTGTAGGGAGATGGAGGGAGTACACTGTGTAAGGAGTTGGAGGTGGATGGAGGTGCCCTGTATAGGGAGGTAGAGGGAGTACACTGGGTAGGGAGGTGTAGGGAGTACACTGTGTAGGTAGGTGGAGGGAGTACACTGTGTAGGGTGGTGGAGGGAGTACACTGTATAGGGAGGTGGAGTACACTGTGTAGGGAGGTGGAGGGAGTGCACTGTGTAGGGAGGTGGAGATGGAGGGAGGTGCGCTGTGTAGGGAGGTGGAGGGAGTACAGTGTGTAGGGAGGTGGAGTATACTGTATAGGGAGGTAGAGGGAGTACAGTGTGTAGGGAGGTGGAGGTGGAGGGAGGTGCCCTTTATAGGGAGGTGTGGGGAATACACTGTGTAAGGAGGTGGAGGGAGTACACTGTGTAGGGAGGTTGGGGGAGTACACTGTGTAGGGAGGTGGAGGGAGTACAATGTGTAGGGAAGTGGAGGGAGTACACTGTAGAGAGGTGGGGTGAGGTGCCCTGCGTAGGGAGGTGGAGGTAGTATATTGTTTAGGGAGGTGGAGGGAGTACACTGTGTAGCGAGGTGGAGTACACTCAAGTGAAGTGGAGGGAGTACACTGTGTAGTGAGGTGGAGATAGAGGGAGGTGCCATGTGTAGGGAGGTGGAGGGAGTACACTGTGTAGGGAGGTGGAGTATACTGTGTAGGGAGGTGTAGGGTGTACACTGTGTAGGGAGGTGGAGGGAGTACACTCTGTAGGGAGGTCCAGGGAGTAGTACACTGTGTAGGGAGGTGGAGGGAGTACACTGTGTAGGGAGGTTCTGGAGATGCCCTGTGTAGGGAGGTGGAGGAAGTACATTGTGTATGGAGGTGTAGTGCACTGTGTAGGGAGGTGAGGGGAGTACACGGTGTATTGAGGTGAGGGGATGTGCACTGTGTAGGGAAGTGTCGAGAGGTACCCTGTGTAGGGAGGAGGAGTACACTGTGTAGGGAGGTGGCGGTAGTCCACTGTGTAGGGAGGTGGAGATGGAGAGAGGTGCCCTGTGTAGGGACATGAAGGGAGTACACAGTGTAGGGAGGTAGAGTATACTGTGTCGGTAGGTGGAGGGAGTACACTGTGTAGGGAGGTGGAGGGAGTACATTATAGGGAGGTGGAGTACACTGTGTAGGGAGGTGGAGGGAGTACACTGTGTAGGGAGGTGGAGTACACTGTGTAGGGAGGTGGAGGGAGTACATTATAGGGAGGTGGAGTACACTGTGTAGGGAGGTGGAGGGAGTACACTGTATAGGGAAGTGGGGGGATGTGCCCTGTGTAGGGAGGTGGAGGGAGTACACTATGTAGGGAGGTGGAATACACTGTGTAATTAGGTGGAGGGAATACACTGTGTAGGGAGGTGGTGTACACTGTGTAGGGAGTTGGAGGGAGTACACTGTGTAGAGAGGTGGATATGGAGGGAGGTCCCCTGTGTAGGGAGGTTGAGGGAGGTGCACTGTGTATGGAGGTGGAGGGAGTACACTGTGTAGGGAGATGGAGTGAGGTGCCCTGTGTAGGGAAGTGGAGGGAGTACACTGTGTAGGGAGGTGGGGGGAGGTGCCCTGTGTAGGGAGGTGGAGGGAGTACATTGTGTAGGGAGTTGTAGTACACTGTGTAGGGAGGTGGTGTACACTGTGTATGGAGGTGGATATGGAGGGAGGTGCCCCGTGTAGGGAGGTGGAGGGAGTACACTGTGTAGGGAGGTGGAGGGAGTACACTGTGTAGGGAATTGGAGGGAGTACACTGTGTAGGGAGGTGGAGGTGGATGGAGGTGCCCTGTATAGGGAGGTTTAAGGAGTACACTATGTAGGGAAGTGGAGGGAGTACACTGTGTAGGGAGGTGGCGGCGGTACACTGTGTAGGGAAGTGGAGGGAGTACACTGTGTAGGGAGATGGGGCATGATCCCCTGTGTAAGGAGGTGGAGGGAATATACTGTGTAGGGAGATTGGGGTAGGTGCCCTTTGTAGGGAGTTTGACGGAGTACACTGTGTAGGGCAGTGGAGGGAGTACACTGTGTAGGGAGGTGGACAGCGTATACTGTGTAGGGAGGTTGGTGGAGTACACTGTGTCGGGAGGTGGAGGTGGAGGGAGGTGCCCTGTTTAGGTAGGTGGAGGGAGGTGCCCTGTGTAGGGATGTAGGGGGAGGTACCCTGTGTAGGGAGGTGGAGGTTGATGGAGGTGCACTGTATAGGGAGGTGAGGGGAGTACACTGTGTAGGGAGGTGGAGGGAGTACACTGTGTAGGGAGGTGGAGGGAGTACACTGTGTATGGAGGTTTGGGTGGTTCCCTGTGTTTGGAGGTGGAGGGTGTACATTGTGTAGGGAGGTTTAGTAGTACACTGTGTAGGGAGGTGGCGGGAGTACACTGTGTAGGAAGGTGGAGTACACTGTGTAGGGAGGTGGAGGTAGAGGGAGGTGCCCTGTGTAGGGAGATGGGGGGCGGTGCCCTGTGTAGGGAAGTTGAGGGAGTACACTTTGTAGGAAGGTGGATGGAGGTGCCCTGTGTAGGGAGGTTCCCTGTGTAGGGAGGTGGAGGGAGTAGGCTGCGTAGGGAGGTGGGGTGAGGTGCCCTGTGTAGGGAGGTGGAGTGAGTACACTGTTTAGGGAGGTAGGGGGCGTACACTGTGTAGGGAGGTGGAGGGAGTACACTGTGTAGGTAGGTAGAGGTAGAGGGAGGTGCCCTGTGTAGGGGGGTGGGTCGAGTACACTGTGTATGGAGGTGGGGGGAGTGCACTATGTAGGGATGTGGAGGGAGTACAGTGTGTAGGGAGGCGGGGGGGGGTGTCGTTGTGCTGTGTAGGGAGGTGGGAGGGGGTGGGGGTGTGCTGTGTAGGGAGGGTGTAGGGGGTGGGGGTGTGCTGTGTAGGGAGGCGGGAGGGTGTGGGGGTGTGCTGTGTAGGGAGGCGGGAGGGTGTGGGGGTGTGCTGTGTAGGGAGGTGTGGGGGCACGCTGTGTAGCGAGGCGCCGGGAGTGTGCTGTGTAGGGATGCAGAGGAGTGTGTGCTGTGTATGGAGGAGGGGCGCTGTGTAGAGAGGTGCAGGGTGGTGTACTGTTATGAGGGGAGGCACACTGTGCTCTGTGCTGTGTTAGGGAAGGAGGTGTGTAGTGATGTTGGCTGGACCTGGTCTGGAATTCCAGGGGTCACTAGTTAGGTTTCTGTCTCCAGCTAAGCTGCAGACCTCTATTTCCTCCTCTGTGCAATGGGAATGACAACAGTGTTTCTCACAGGGCTCTTGTTAGGATTAACGGAATAATCCACTGTTGAGCTTACTAGCACTGTGCCTTGTGCCTGGTACACAGTAGCCATCTAATGTGCTGGGCCCTCTCTTGTGAGGCTGGCGGCAGGGGAAGGAAAGGGTTTTGGACTCAAGGAAAATAGCCACCTTTTTCCTCTCCTCACAGGGAACCCAGTTTGGCCAGTGGGATACCGCTACTTTTGAGAACGAGGAACAGAAACTGAAATTTCTGAAACTTATGGGTGGCTTCAAAAATGTGTCCTCGTTCAGCCGCCCTCCAAGCGCCACTACAAGGCCCACCATGGCCCTCAGCAAGAAGGCAGCAGACAGCCTGCAGCAGAACCTGCAGCGGGACTTCGACCGGGCCATGAGCTGGAAGTACAGCCGGGGAGCCGGCCTCGGCTTTTCCACCGCCCCCAACAAGATCTTTTACATTGACAGGAACGCTTCCAGGTCAGTCAAGCTGGAAGATTAACCTCTAGAGTTTTGTCCCCCCAAAACTGCCACAGCCAATTTGATTATCCATTCATGCTGGAGGTTACAAATTTTTTGTGTGTAAAAAATCAGATCTTGGTGATGACCTTGAACAGTAGGATATGAGTAACTCCCGTAAGCTTAGCGTTCCAGTAATGGAACACTAGGCATAAATGGGTTATTTAGTCTTGCAGATGAAAGCCATCTGACACTTGGCTCACATTTGAACACCAGTGGAGATTAAGGACAAGGACACCTGTCTTGATGGGCTTGGATGAACTGGGGCAGGGCAGCTCATGTTTCCGGAGCCAGGAGAACAAGTGAGTGGTTTTGTCCTCCTGGTTTGTGTGTTAAACTTTCTGTCCCTGTTTGAGACATCAGGTGTGTACAGATAACCTTTGTTGAGTGTTTAGCAGGTGCTAGGCACATACTGGTGTTTTCTTTAATGCATTTAATCTTCATAATGATGAAATGGGTGCTATTATTGTCCCCATCTTATAGATGAGGCAACTGAGGTGCAGGGATAAAGTAATAAAATTGCCTGAGGTCGCCCAGCCGGTAAGTGCAGGGTGTTGTGCCCGAAGCCGCAAGTTCACTATTTGCCACTCTGAATGTCCCCCCGGGCATTTCACCAGAATCCTCATTGGGACTGAAATGTCTTTAGATTGAGGAAACAATTTTTTTTTTTTTTTTGAGACGGCTTTGCTCTTGTTGCAGAGGCTCGAGTGCAATGGCAAGATCTTGGCTCACTGTAACCTCTGCTTCCTGAGTTCAAGCGGTTCTCCTGCCTCAGTCTCCTAAGTAGCTGGGATTATAGGCAGGTACCACCAAGCCCGGCTAATTTTGTATTTTTAGTAGAGACAGGGTTTCTCCATGTTGGTCAGGCTGGTCTCCAACTCCTGACCTAAGATCTGCCTGCCTCGGCCTCCCAAAGTGCTGGTGAACCAACATGCCTGGCCTGGAAACAAACGTTGTATGACGAAGTGGGGTGTGAATGAGGAACCCGGAATCGCAAGCTCCTTTTCCTTTCTGGTATTAGAGCAGCTGTAGGCAGGGAGGTGTCTGAGTTGTCACCAAATACATGTGGCTGAGCTTCCTCTGCTGCTGGGAAATGGGCATCTAAAGCAGACCTGCCTTTTCCACCAGCCTCCCTGTGACCCTAAGTGCTGAGCTAGGATTTTGTCTTTTTGTGCTTTGACTGGATTCTGAACAAGGCATTTTAGGAGGAGTGGTTAGTCCTGCAAATGAACCAGATGGCAGATTCCCAGAGACATGTGTGTGTTTGTTTTTTTGAGATAGGGTTTCACTCTGTTACCCAGGCTGGAGTGTAGTGGCATGATCATGGTTTATTGTAACCACTACTGTCCAACTTAAGCGATCCTCCCACTTTCGCCTTCCAAGTAGCTGGGCCTGCAGGTGTGCACAACAACCAGCTAGTTTTTAAATTGTTTGTAGAGACGGGGTCTCACTATATTGTCCAGGTGGGTCCCAAACTCCTGGACTCAACTCATCCTCCTGCCTCAGCCTCCTAAAATGCTGGGATCACAGGTGTGCACTACCGTGCCCAGCCCCAGGGATGTGTCTGATGAGATTCTTTTTTATCTCACAGAAGAGAATCCCAGTTGACTTCCGTAGATGGATATTGAATGGCAGGAGGAGGAGATGAATGTGTGGCCATGTCACAGGAAGTTGATAACGTGTTAAGCCGCTAAAATTGTGGTGATTCGTTAAAGTAACAATAGAAAACCTAATACAGGTCTCATGTAGAAGTTTCCATCATTTTGCTCTTCTGTGATTCTGGCTTACATGTCATTGCTCCACCATTCCTAATGCTAGACCTCAGCCCATGCAGACCAGGATTTTCAGAGACCGCTGAACTCAGTAATGGGCTGGGGAAAACTGCACACACGAGGACGTACAAAATTCTAGCCTCCGCCTGGGCCCCACAAGATTCAGGAGTGCCTTTGGTATAATGGGTACCCAACCTTGTGTGAAAGTCCAAATTGAGGTTAATGTTAGAGCAGTCAGAATTCACTGGACGGCTCTGGAACCAATGCTGTCCAACACGGTCAGCCCCAAAGGAGAAGAAATGACTTGAACATATGTGAATTTGCCAATTGTTTTTTTTTTCCACTTAATTAGCATCACACAGTATAAGTAGTAGATAAAATAATTTTAATGAAAATAATTTTGTGAAATAAAGGCCACTTGGGAGTATTTGAGCAACAGCACAGTGTTTTCTGAGTTTCTGTATGGTTTATTTAGTAGAGGGGAGGGAAAGAGGTTTTTGTGTCTGCTGTCCTTTTATAAATTTTTTTTGAGATGTTGTTTTGCTCTTGTCGCTCAGACTGGAATACAGTGGCGAGATCTTGGCTCACTGCAACCTCCACCTCCTGGGTTCAAGCGATTCTCCTGCCTCAGCCTGCCAAGTAGGTGGGATTACAGATGTTGACAACACGCCTGGCTAATTTTCGTATTTGTAGTAGAGGCAGGCTTTCACCATTTGGCCAGGCTGGTCTCAAACTCCTGATCTCAGATGATCTGCCCACCTCAGCCTCCCAAAGTGCTGGGATTACAGGTGTGAATCACCATGCCTAGCCTATAAATTTATTTTAAAAATCTTTTAGGCCCTTTTACCATCTGAGATTAACCAAATGTTTAACTGTAGTCTTGTGTTTTCTCAGAGGTAAGATGAAATGTAATCATGTCTAATTCCAGTGTGTATCTTCTAGAAGCCCAATAGTTTGGGGCACTTTTAAGCCACAATGTGGATGCATTTTCACATTGGCAGTGGGCCTGAGATTATGAATCAATCAGTATTAATGCTTTTATTGTTTGAAAATGAAATGTTGGTGCAGGCTTACCAGCAGTAATAGAAGAATCAGGTTCCACCAAACTGTTGGAAGAAAAGCAGACAGAATCACGTGCTGTTTCAGATTGTGGCTGCAAAGCAAAGCAGGCTACTATTTAGACACGTTCTCTCTCTTCTGGAGGAAGACCGTCAGAAGTAATTAAATGAACAGTCATGAACGTAAGTGCTCCTTCAGGACATTTATTCTGTTAGAGTATACTGAAGCCACAGAGAATCTCAAATTTGACCTCACTTTCTCCTTTGATCTCCCAGCACAGATTCTAAGTCCAATCAAGAGCTGCTTTTGATAGGAAAAAGTTAATGGAGCGCGATTTCTGCCTTTCATAAAGCCTGAGTTCCAGACTTTGGGCGTTCTCTTAACCTGAAGGTACAAAGTGGCACTGCTTTTCAAAGTCCTTTTTCTCAGCTATGAAAAAACAAATACCTTCCAGAAAGGAAAGATGTCACTTACATTCTTGTTTCTCTTTTGCCAAAGGCCCATTGGATCCTTTCTGGGGCTGAGAAATGGAAGGCCACTTGTGCAAAGCAAACACAGAGATGCTGCTTCTCACTGAAGATGGCATTTTAATGCTGTCACCCCCATATCTTCGCTGTCAGAATAATCTGCGTAGAGGCCAAAGCGTAAACCAGTTTGTACATACATAAAAAGAAAAGAAACATGAGAAACCTAGATTCCAGTCAGAGTTCGGGGCAGCAGAGGAGATCTTTCTGCATTTGGCCAGAGTCCCTGAGGCCGAGGACCGGCTGGGGTCAGGTCCTTGTTTGCAGGGGGAGTCTGAGGGCCAGCTCTGTCAGGTGAGTCATGCCTGGCTGCTTGCTTCGCTTCTTGATATATTCTAGCGTTTTCACCTACGAGGAAAAGAAAGATCCAGGTCTTTTGAATTGGCCGTTATGTGAGCTTAGACTTCTTAGAGAATGGAGTCTTTTGAGGGATGAGGGGAGGGAAGAATGATCAAAGTCTTTAATATAAAACCTTGGATTGCAACTTGCCCTAAAAATCAGATTTTTGGGTGTGGCCAGAAATAACTGATGTTTTACGGTTTTTGTGCCGAGGGAATAGACTTTTAAAGCTATGCCTGTTTTTTTTCTCTTTTGGAGTAAAGGTCTTGCTCTGTCACCCAGGCTGGAGTGCAGTGGTGTGATTACAGCTCATTGCAGCCTCAAACTCCTGCGCTCAAGCCGTTCTCCGTCTGGAGCCTCCCCGAGTAGCTGGGACTACAGATGTGCACCACCATGCCCACCACCATGCCCAGCTAATTTTTATTTCTTGTAGAGACCAGGTCTCACTGTGTTGCCCAGGCTGGTGTCAAACCCCAGACCTCAAGGATCCTCCTGCCTCAGTCTCTCAAAGTGCTGGGATTATAGACAGGAGCCACCCTACCTAGGCCAGCTCTGCTTTTTACTACTGGGAAGTGATCAGCAGAAATGGACCAAGGGCCTTTCTAAAAGGGGAGTATGGGGTTGTCTGATATCCAGGCCCTGGTGCTGTGCTGAAGGCAGTTGTGCACTGGCCAGTGGGCTCATAACGCCCTCCGCGCGCCTCACCATGGTCCTGGTGTCTGCACAGCCGTGCCTCTGTGCCAGGTGCCACAGGTTGACAGAGAGCTGGTTAAGCTTGTTGTTGCGCAGATCCCCATGGGCCAAGATGCTGTTAAAGAAGGAGAGACCCAACGAGCTCTGGCGCTTCAGGGCCTGAAACAGAAAAGGGAGATGACTACCTCGCACTGGGGCTCAGGCCGGGCCCGCAGACATGCTGTGGACACTGTGGTTGACTTGGGGCGGTGGGTCATGCCTGAGTGCCAGTTCTGCCAAGTATTTGCTGTAGGGCAAGCTGCTGAAGCTGCCAGAGTCCCAGCTGCTTTATCTGTAAATGAAAGGAAGGTCACCACTGCAGAGGGTAAGGATTCAGTAACATGACGAAGCTCTGTGCCCACAGATGGTCATTACTCATGAAATGGAAGAAACTAGCCACTCAGCGAGGTTGGGAGTGAAGGGTAACCCAGGAGTAACAAGCCTTGCCTTAATGCAAGCACAGCTACTGAAAGGCTTCAGCTTGTCTCTTTCAGATATGTCCTCAAACTACCCAAAGCTGCAGTCAGTACTCCTGCCCCTGGGCTGCTGGTAAAAAGACCAAAAGACATCTCATGAACAGAGCTCCTCAATCCTTAGTGCCCATCTCCAGCCCTGACACGCAGACACCAGATGTTTCCTTTCTTGCTCAATAATCCGATGTGAGAGGTATCTTGCCAAAAAAAGTCTAACCACAATGTCATGGTAGACCAGCCCTGAACCCCAGCTTTAAATGGTAGAGACAAAAGGGAAAATCTCCAAAATGCAACCCCAGGCCCAGGAGAGAGGATACAACTTCCCCAAGGTCAACAAAGGCCCCTGAAGAGGCCGCATCAACACGTGGGTACCTGCTGTTCAGGAAGCCCATGGGGCCAGGGCAGGTCCTTCATCCATACTTCAGTGCTGCCAAGTCTCGTGTCCGCTCTGCCCCCTGACAGTGAATGGGTGTAAGAGCCCTTAAGAGTGTGCCAGGTATTCTGCTCTGTGCTTTATCAACTCTCCTGATTTAACCTTCATGACAACACTAGGGGAGGTACATTTCTAACCCCCCATGGTAGACAGAATTCTAGAGGCGTCTCCCAATATTCCTCCCTGTTACTCAAACATGAATCCAGGTGCTGCCATGGAGGGACTGCAGATGGAATTAAGGTAGGGAGAGTATCTTAGATGTCCTGAGTGGGCCCACTCGAATCACTGCAGCCCTGAAAAGCAGAAGTTTTCTCCTACCAGAATCAGAGATAAGCAGGGGAAGAGAAAAATGGGAAAGAGGAGGAAGAAGGGAAGTCAGAGATTCAAGACCTAAGGAGAACCAGGCCTACCAGTGCTGGCCATGAGCTGAGAAACACAGGCCGCTTCTAGAAGCTGAGAAGGAGGCCCGGCCAACAGACACAAGACCTCAGTCCATGATCACATGGAACTACAGTCTGCCAGTACCCTGAAGGAACAGGAAGTCGATTCTTTCCAGTGCCCCAGCTAGCAAGACCTTGACTCTGGCCTTGTGTGAAACCCAGAACAGAGATGGCAGCCCCAGCCAGCACTGACTTCTCGCCTAACAAACAGCGAGATCAAAAATGGGCTCTGCTTTAAGTGCCAGGTTTGTGGCAGTCAGTCATAGTGGCAACAGGAAACTAATACACTCCCATTCTACAGATGAGGCACCTGAGGCTCTGAAAGGTTAGGAACTTGCCTAAGGACCACAGCTGGGCCCTTGCAATGCAGAGGGGAGTCTGAGCTCCAGCTGACTCCAGAGCCTATGTGCGTACTCAGAGCCCTCTCCAGGCCCCACCCCTAGGGTCGCCGCATATCAGGAATCGCAGACAGAAGAGGCTGAGACTTGCCCAGTGCTACAGGCCACTTCAGCTGTGCAGTTTTATGTGGGGAGAAAGAATGGCTTGATTGGGCTTACACCAAAACACATTTCTTCCTGCTTTTCTCAACAACTCTTGGTGGCTAAAACCAACTTATTAACCATCCCATTCAACATTCCACAGGTATTTCACATGGAGCCTGCTAATTGCTATGCCAACTGATTTACCCCTTCCTTTTTTTCCCAAATGAGAATTTAAAATCTAGTGAAAAGAAAAAGAAATTAGCTGAGCATGGTAGCACACACCTGTGGTCCCAGCTACTCAGGAGGCTGAGGCGGGAGGATCAGTTGAGCCCTGGAGTTTGAGGCTGCAGTGAGCTATGATCACATCACTGCACTCCAGCCTGAGCAACAGAGCGAGACCCTGTCTTAGAAAAAAGGAACAGCTTCAAATGCAGTTGGGCAAGGTGATACGAGTAGCTGAGTGGCAATTAATTAAGAATCTTTGCATGACCCCCACCCCCCCAAATTGAGTCTGCTTTGGCAACAGCCTAGAGCAGGTGACAGTCACAGAAGCAGCAGAGCCGACCTCGAAGAGCCCAATAACCAGGGAGCAGGTTGTGCTGTGGGCGCCCAAGCCCACGGGCCCAGAGAAAGGCAGCACTTTGGCATGGGGTAAGCAGGCTGGCACCTACTGGGCAGGGACTCTTAACTGCCTGGTGACCGCCTGTTCTGGCTTCATTTGTTCTAACAGAGAATGCAGTTATGCCCCAAGTGAGAACCTGAACCCATTCTGCTCTCCTTTTAACCTGGTCCTTGTCTGATACCTGGGAGAACAGGGGGCCCTGCTGTCTGCTTAGATCTAGAAGACCAAGCTAAAAGAAGACGCTTTCAAAGCCAACTAAAAGTCTCCTCAGAGAGAGGCCCTTTGACTACTATTCCCTGAAGGGGGAGAAATTGTTTTGAAAGTCAGACAACGAGCACGATACCTAATTGGCTATTTCTCCATTCCATATTTTCTCAATTAGCAAAAAGCTCAATTTGCATGTGTTTTAAATGCCACAGCCCATTAAAAGTGAAATCATTAGAGACATGTCTGAGGGATGAGACACATGCCAGCTGATACTCAAACAAGGAGAAAAACACAAACACGTAGCTGGGGAACCAAATCAGGCCTGACCCCGCTCCCCTTGCCACAGAGGTTTAAAATAGAAAAGAGCTGTTTTTCCTATGAGAATTGTCATTTCCAGGAAGCTCTAGGGGTTTGGCATGGTTCCCAGCTCCACCACACCCAAACAAACAACTTCATAAAATACAGCTTGTCATTAAAACGAGGCTGGCACCTTCACGTGGCCTTAGAGGAGGATTTTGGAAGCAGTGTTGCTACCAGCGCTAAGAGATGTGATGCTCAGAACAGCACAGGCATCAGAGTTTCCCCACAGCAGGAAGCCAACGACCCCACTGGGTGGGAAATCCCACCACACCCCTCCTGGGCTGTGATGGGCCTGGGTACCAAGCCTCATGCTCCCAGGGGTACCAGACTCTAGAAGATTCTGATGTGATTGCTTTAGATAAACTTTAAATTGCACCATTAAAACACTGGATAACATGTTCAGTTTCAGCTCGGTCTACCCACATGATTGTGTTTTTGTTTATTTTAGAGACAGGGTTTTGCTTTGCTGCCAGGGTTGGAGGGTAGTGGTGCAATCAGAGCTCACTGCAGCCTCAAACTCCTGGGCTCAAGCGATCCTCCCACCTCAGCCTCCTGAGTAGTACCAGCTACTCAGGGTACGCACCACCATGCCTGGCTAATTTTTATGTATTTTTTAAGAGATGGGGTCTTACTATGTTCCCCAGGCTAGTCTCAAATTCCTGGAATCAAGCAATCCTCCTTGCTCAGCCTCCCAAAGTATTGGGATTATAGGCATGAGGCACTACACCTGACAGATGTTTTTCTAATAAATGTGCATTTATGGACAGACATTTTCAGTGAACATCCCTGGTATTTATGTGACATGAAATGTTCTCCAGAAACATTCCATCTTTGCTGTTCTCTCAGAGTTTTGTTTCAGAATCGCTATCACCATCAGCCTTGATCTCTACCACAGAAACAGATATATTATAAATAACTCCACATTATATGGTTCTGGGCTCTATTTTTATTGCAAGCTTGGGGCTTCTGGGCTGTGATCATTTATGCTGTCAGTGACCAGCTCTGATGAAACCCAGCCTGTTGCCTCAGCATGAAGAAATGTAATTTTGAACCACATGTGAAGTTTTCTGTGGGTGTGGCTTGTCAAACACACGTCATTGTTCTAAGAGGTTCCTGGACTAGAAGGTGTAACCAGAGCCGATGGTTTCTAGAAACCAGGAGAAGGCCAGGGGTGGTGGCTCAGGCCCAGAATCCCCACCACTTTCGGAGGCCAAGGCCAAGGTGGGTGGATCACTTGAGCTCAGTAATTTTTTTTTGAGACAGAATCTCGCTCTGTCACCCAGGCTGGAGTGCAGGGGTGCAATCTCAGCTCACTGCAACCTTCCCCTCCTGGGTTCAAGCGATTCTCCTGCCTCAGCCTCCCGAGTAGCTGGGATGACAGGCATGCACCACCACATTCAGCAAATTTTTTTATTTTTAGTGGAGACTAAAAATACGATACTAACGGGGTTTCACCGTGTTAGCCAGGATGCTCTTCATCTCCTGACCTTCCTGCCTGCCTTGGTTTCCCAAAGTGCTGGGACTATAGGCGCGAGCCACCATGCCTGGCGAGGATGGGTGGTATTTTGTACAGTGTAGGAAGTGACAAAGTACTATTACTATCCATTTTGATCTTATTTTGTCCTGAAAGAGTCTGAATGCTTTGAAAGTATATGAAGTGAGAGATACAGGAGCAAAACCCAGGAGGAACAAGAGGAACTCCAGGAAGACCCAGTGGGTTGGGAATGAAGGAGCTGGAGGAGGGGAGTGACCACGCGCTTTGGAAGGAGGACATGGTGGGAAAGGCACTAAGAACCAGAGAGCCAAAAATCATCTCAGGTTTGGGGAAGGGAACTGAGAAGGAAGAGGAAGGTGAGAGAACAGAGGCCCCTCCTGCTAGGAGGGTATCAGGAATGAGTTACCAGGCAACATCTTTTGCTAGGTGGGAATAAAATAATCAAGATGCTCAGAGCTTTGAGCAAATAGCTTCTAGTGGGTAAAGGGCAAGATCTAGGGGAAATGTGTGGAGCAGACAGTCAGGGAAGAACGCAGACAGGCCAGGCACTGGCTCTGACTACCAAGATGCTGCCAGCCTCCCCGTGCCTGCACCTTGACTACACTACAGCAATCAGCCTTAACCACAGCAACACACACCTATGTCTACACAACTAACCGGCTCAGCCACATTTGAGGCAGGGTATCTGGGACCCATATGTCACTCACACATTTGGGCCAAAACTGGGAAAATGGAAGCCATGGTCATCAGCATAGCTTGGGAAGGGAACCAGGTAGTTAATTTAGGTTGTACTAGATGGAAATCACATTGAAATCAATCAGCTATTTAGAGAATACGAAAAAAAAAAAAAAAAACTGCTCTGAAAACATAAAAGATACAACATCTGATAAAAGAATCTAGTTTGTGGGCCGGGCGTGGTGGCTCAAGCCTGTAATCCCAGCACTTTGGGAGGCCAAGGCGGGTGGATCACGAGGTCAAGAGATCGAGACCATCCTGGTCAACATGGTGAAACCCCGTCGCTACTAAAAAAATACAAAAAATTAGCTGGGCATGGTGGCGTGTGCCTGTAATCCCAGCTACTCAGGAGGCTGAGGCAGGAGAATTGCCTGAACCCAGGAGACGGAGGTTGCGGTGAGCCGAGATCGCGCCATTGCACTCCAGCCTGGGTAACAAAAAGTGAAACTCTGTCTCAAAAAAAGAATCTAGTTTGTGGATAAGAGCAGGGCTTCCAGAAAATTGCCTTGACCATACTCTATAGCTACTGCCCTAGGATTCCATTTCCTCATCTGTAAAGCAATAAAGGGACTGCTGTGAGAATTAAGTGGAATAATCTATGTTCTTTACACTATACTTAACGTACACTGAAGGGGGTGCAAAAACATAGCCTACTAGATAATGACCACACACGACCTCTTAAAATGAAGTGAGCCACACATAGTGGCTCAAGCCTGTAATCCCAGCACTTTGGGAGGCCAAGGCAGGTGGATCACTTGAGCTCAGGAGTTTAACACCAGCCTGGCCAACATGGTGCAACTCCATCTCTACTAAAAAATTAGCTGGGCGTAGTGGCGGGTACCTGTAATCCCAGCTACCTGGGAGGCTGAGGCAGGAGAGTCACTTGAACCCAGGAGGCGGAGGTTGCAGTGAGCTGAGATCACACCATTGTACTCCAGCCTGGGCGATGAGAGCAAAACTCCATCTCCCAAAGGAAAAAAAAAAAAAAAAAGTGGAAACGCCTTGGTTGAGGAGGGCAATGTAGCAGTGCAGAGTTAAGGTTTGGGAACTGGGGTTAGAATCTGCTGTTTTATCACAGAGGAAATACCAAGGGCTCTGAATAACTCTCTGAGCCTGTGTCCCTTCCCATTCAGTGGAAACAAACACAGCACCTACATCGCAGGGCTGCTGTGGGCACTGAAAGAGCCCAGGTATAGCAATTCCATGCTGTCACTGACTGACCATGTAGTGATGGAACATCTGCCTCAGGCCAGGCTCTGCATTGAGACATGGGTGGTGTAGAGTGCTACAGGGGGGTCCCAGAGTCCCTGTCTTGCCATTCAGACACAGGCGGGTCTTCAAGACTCAGCAGGTCCCTGCTCCCACAGAGCTTACTACATTCTAGTTGGGGAGCCAGGGGATGGACAGACAAACAGTGAACATTTCAGACGGCGATCAGGGGCTACAGGGACAATCGGGCAGAGGCATGCAGGTGGTGGTGGTTCCTCGAGACAGGCTCTGGGAGGGCCTCTCTGAGGAGGTCCTGAGCTGAGATTAGAACGACGAGAAGGAACAGCCAGAGGAAGCCCTGGGGGAGGCGGGTCCAGGCAGAGAAAACAGCAGGAGCGAAGGCCCCAAAGCACTGGAGAAGTGGTTTGCACATAAACACCGCTCACAACAGTTTCTCTTCTAGAATGAAAGGAAAATGTCAAACCACCCCGGAAACTTGTGCTTTCAGAGCGAGAGGCCGGTGGGGGACGGCAGAGGGCACCCACCTCGTCCTTGGCCAGGGTTTTCAGATGCTCTAGGATCTGAGCCATCACCGTCTCACACAGCTTGTTGTTTTCTGCCAGGAACTTGGAGTCTCCCCCGTAGAGGCTGTCGTTGGAGTCCACTGTTGAACAAACAAGAACAGTGAGACAGACCCAAGCCCTGTGGCCATGCTAGCCAGGGAGAGGCAGCCGCGTGTCACGTCACACAGCGTCAGCAGACGGCAGGAAGTCATGGCAGGGCTGAAATTTCCCACTGGGCTTAGGGCCTTGGGAATCACAAAGAAAACACCCAGCCTGCAGAAGAGATGATTTTATTTATATATTTATTTTTTGAGATGGAGTCTCTCTGTCACCCAGGCTGGAGTGCAGTGACATGATCTCGGCTCACTATGACCTCTGCCTCAAGGCTCAAGCGATCCTCCTGCCTCGGCCTCAAGAGTAGCTGGTATATATATATTTGTATTTTTAGTAGAGATGGGGTTTCACCATGCTGTCCAAGCTAGTCTTGAACTCCTAACCTCAAGTGATCCACCTGCCTCAGCCTTCCAGAGTCTTGGGATTACAGGCATGAGCCACTGCACCCAGCCAAAAGATGATATTATTAATGCCTCCCTTTTAGAGAGATGAGGCTAGAAGTGGTCCTGCCTAGGATCCTAAACCAGGAAGTCTGATTCCAGAGCCCACACCCTTAGCTACCGCATCCAGCTGCCCGCCCTGTCACTGTCTCTTCAAAACTGGCTTTGGAAAGACCGCAGAGATTTTCTATTTCAACTACTCTAGAAGTGCAAATCCCGTTGACAGTGTCTCTTGCCTAAAGCTCCTCCACTGTTTGCTTGGTCTCGTCCTGTAACAACCACTGTCTAGAGTAAGACAGGCCCAGCCACGGACAGCCTGAGTCTGATCTCCTCCCTCCCTCCTTCCTTCCTCTCAACTGACCTTCACATAGAGCATAATCTGGGCAACAAAAGAGACATTACAGTGTGTGCTGCTTTACACCTTTTTTTTTTTTTTTTGACTTGATAAATTTGGGAGCTGGGATCAGTGGTTCACACCTGCAATGTTAGCACTCTGGGAGGCTCAGGCAGGAGGATCACTTGAGTCCAGCAGTTCTGAGATCAGCCTGGGCAACATAGCAAAACCCCATCTCTACAAAAAAAACAAAACAAACAATGAGCTGGGTGTGGTAGCTCACACCTGTAGTCCCAGACACTTGGGAGGCTAAGGTGGGAGGACTGCACCCAGGAGTAGGACTTCAGTGAGCGGTCATCACATGACTGCACTCTAGTCTGAGCGACACAGCAAGATCCTGTCTGTAAATAAATAAAATAAATCTTCATGTTATTTCTATATCATTGTATTGTATGTGTACAAGCAGACAATAATCCCTTACCCTTGGGGGATACGTTCTAAGACCCTCCGTGGGTGCCTGAAACCACACAGTATCAAACCCTGTATACGTTATGCTTTTTCCTATACAGTAACGGGTAGTTAGTGTTGTATCAGTGTGGATAAAGTGGAAAAAGCGATGAATGATAATCCCGGGTGAGACAAAGTGAAATTTTATCACCCTACTCAGTACAGTGTGCCAATTAAAACTTAGGAATTAAATTTCTGAGATTTTCAACTTCATATTTTTGGACCAGGTTGACTGTGGGGTAACTGAAACCACAGAAAATGAAACTGGGGCTGAGTGCAGTGGCTCACACCTGTAATCTGAACGTTTTGGAAGGTTGAGGCAGGTGGATCACTTGAGGTCGGAAGTTCAAGACCAGCCTGGCCAACATAATGAAACCCAGTCTCTACTAAAAACACAAAAATTAGCTGGGTGTGGTGGTGTGTGACTGTAGTACCAGCTACTCAGGAGGCTTAGGCAGAATTGCTTGAACCCTGGAGGGAGAAGTTGCAGTGAGCTGAGATTGAGCCACTGCACTCCAGCCTGAGCAAAAGAGTGAGACTCTGTCTCAAAAAAAAAAAAAAAAAAAAAAAAAAAAAACCCCAAAAAAACAAAGACACTGGGTAAGGGGCACTGCTGCATACAGCTCTGTTGTCTTGTTGTCATGGCTGCATAGTAGTCCACTGTATAACGGACCAGAATGTATTTACTTGTTCCTACCAGGAACTCTTTAGTGGTTTCCTTCTTTTTCTTTTTTGGCCTGCTGCAAACCCTCGAGTTTATAACAAAACCACTGGCTCTGGATTCTTTCCTTCCATGCCCACAGGAGCTTATACACCTTTCCCACTGGATCCTTTTACAGCCGCTTTCATTCCAACTACCAGACAGGGACTTGTATGTGACCAAGCATAACCAGTGTGAACAAGCAGCACTCTGCCTGGGGAGCCCAGTTTAGCATCTGCACCCCCAGACTAAAAAGAGAGCTCTGGAGCTAACGGAGCACTCCGTGGTCAAGAAGGGGGATGCAGCAGCGGCCCTCGCTGCTTCTCACCTGGGAGGGGCTGCAATCTCGGTCACTGTGCCAAGTGTGTGGGTCTCTGATAAACCAAGAGTCATACTTGTGCCTTGGGTGTGGTTGTGTACACGCAGCCTCATGTGCGCAGAGCGAATCCAGTTTTATGGTTTAGGGATATCTTGAATAAACCAAATCCAGTTTAGCCTATCTGCTGGAACGTGATTTGTTGTGCTTATCTCACCCCATTGAAAGAACACTTATCACTGTCTTGAGGAAACAAGTGGGAAGGATACTGTCTCAGATACACACAACAAATAGGCAGTATTTATGAGAAACAGTGGGGCCTGTGTACAAGCGAGAGACAAACAGCATGAGATGGCTGGGCACAGTGGTTCGTGCCTGTAATCCTGGAACTTTGGGAGGCCAAAGTGGGTAGATCACTTGATCTCAGGAGTTTGAGACCAGCCTGAGCAACATGGCGAAACCCCATCTCTAATAAAAATACAAAAATTAGGTGTGTGCCTGTAGTCCCAGCTACTCAGGAGACTGTGGTGGGAGGATCACTTTATCCCAGGAGGCAGATGTTGCAGTGAGCAGAGATCACGCCACTGCACTGCAGGCAGGGCAACAGAACCAGACACTGTCTCAAAATTAAAAACAAACTGCATGAGTTTCCCTTGCAGATGGGCGAGGCTGAGAGTGAGGCGCCACGGGGAACAGTCCATCGTGGTGCAAGTCCTGAGCTGTCACTCAGCATCTCAACAGAAATATTCAGCGGCCCGCTAGCTATGAGCTATGGAGACAAGAGTTTACCTTCAACAAACACTTGCTGTGAAAACCAAGAAAAGCCATAATTTGGTGAAAAAAAATTGACTAGTAATCAAAGAACAGATGACTAAAAGCATAGAACTGTTCTTAAAAATATCCTGGCTAGGTGTGGTGGCTCACGCCTTGAATCCCAGCACTTTGGGAGGCCAGGGTGGGCGGACTGCTTGAGATCAGGAGTCTGTGACAAGCCTGGCCAACATGGTGAAACCACAACTCTACAAAAATTACAAAAACCAGCCGGGCATGGTGGTACACGCCTACAGTTCCAGCTACTTGGGGCACCGAGGTGGGAGGATCGCTTGAGCCCAGAAGGTTGAGGCTGCAGTGTTTCATGTTCGTGCCACTGCATTCCAGCCTGAGTGACAAAGTGAGGCCCTGACTCCAAACAATAAAATCACTTCTATTACAAAGGTGAAAAAGAACAAAAATAACCAGTTTTGAGGTAGGTGTGGGAAAACTATTGGTAGGAATCTAATAGTGTGGAAATAGGTATGAAAAGCCTTAAAAATGTCCAGTATCATTTCACACCAATGATGATGACTTTTTTTAAAAAAAAAAAAAAAAAAAAGGCCAGGTGCAGTGGATCATGCCTGTAATCTCAGCACATTGGGAGGCTGAGGCAGGCAGATCACTTGAGGCCAGGAGTTCGAGATCAGCCTGGCCAACATGGTGAAACCATGCCTCTACTTAACAAAAAACAAAAATGAGCCTGATATGGTGGCGCATGCCTGCAATCGCTTGAACCTGGGAGGTGAAGGTTGCAGTGAGCTCAGATCACACCACTGCACTCCAGCCTGGACAACAGAGCAAGACTCTGTTTCCAAAAACAAATAAAAAAACATGGAAAAGAAGTGTTGGTGAGAATGCCGAGGAATTAGAACCCTCATGCATTGCCGGTCGGAATGTAAAACGGTGCAGCCTCCATGAAAAACAGCATGGTGGTTTCTCAAACCGTTAAACCTGTTTCTCAAACCGTTAAACCTAGAACTGCCATCTGATCCAGTAATTCCCAAAGGAACTGAAGGCAGGGACTCATATACATGTTCACAGCATCATGATTTACAAAAGCTGAAAAGTAGAAACAATCCAAGTGTCTGTCAACAGACAAACTTATAAGCAAAATGTGGTAGAGCCATACAATGGAATATTATTCAGCCTTAAAAGGGAATGACCAGCCTGGGCAACAGAGCAAGACCCCAGTCAAAAAATTAGCTGAGTGTGGTGGCAGGTGCCTGTAGTGCCAGCTACTTGGGAGGCTGAGGTGGGAGGATGGTTTGAGCCCAGGAGGTTGAGGCTGCAGTGAGCTGTAATCACATCACTATATTTCCAGCCTGGCCAACAGAGCAAGACTCTGACTCAAAACAACAACAAAAAGAATGAAACTCTGCCACATGCCACAGCATAAATAAACCTTGAAGAAATTACACTAAGTGAAATATACCAGACACAGATAAACAAATACTCCATTCATGAGATTCCTAGAATAGGCAAACTCAGAGACAGAAAGTAGAACAGAGGTTACCAGGGGATGTGGAAAGGAGAAAATGAAGGAACTATTGCTTACTGGGTACAAGGTCCCTGTTAGGGAAGATTTTTAAAATTCTGGAAATGGATAATAGTGATGGTTATACAACATTGTGAATATACCTAATGAAACCGAATTGTGCACTTGTAAATTTTATGTTCATGTGTATTTTACCACATTAAAAAGTTAAAAAACAGAAAAAAAAAAAAAAAAAAAAGGTCAGATTCTTTACTTGGGAAAAATACTCCCAGAGATTTATCCTAAGAAAATAAGCTAACAGGTGCACAAAGATTTATGTCTGTACTGCACTGGTGTTGTTAAGAAACAACGGAACGTCCACAAATACAGTGTTTTTTTTTTT